GTCCCTCCTCCAGCTCCTACAGCCTCTGAGTGTGGGGTTTAAGCCAGGGGGGAGGAGGAGCAGTTTGGGGATGAGTGTCTTTCCCCCACCACAACTCAAATAAATGTGTTGTTATTATTTTATTATTCATGTATTTTCAGTTTTTCTATGAAATAACTACTATGAATATTTAAACAGGAAGGGGCACAATTTTATATTCCTGCCTTAGGAGCAAAATTAGCTAGTTACAGCACTGCCCTCTCTCCTCCCGCCCCCCTCCCCACCTTTTTTTAATTGGCTTGGGTCATCAAGTCTTCCTGATTTGTCAAAATGGGTCCCCATCTGGAAAAGGTTGGGAACTGCTGCTGAAGGCGCCCACAGCAGGCTGTTGCAGGCTGGAGACTGGAGACTCTTCCCCCAAAGTGGATCTGTTATCTTAGAAGGGAATAACCTTCCTGTTGCAGACTGGAGACTCTTCCCCCAAAGTGGATCTGTTATCTTAGAAGGGAATAACCGTCCAGCTTGCCAGAACTATTAGCATAACATTGAACCTGTGAAAGACCCATTACATAGTAATGAAGCCATTTAACAGTCATGTACCAAACTTGGATTTACTGACAAAAGCAGTTGTGCATTACTATGTCTACAGGACCTTAGTTTAAAAATTGCTTTACATATTTTACTAGTTTGTTGCTGAAGATTTTAAAATCACATCTCTAAAAGAATCCTTGCATAGATATTTAGGTGCACAAGCTCAGTATTCAGCTTTAGGCTTGAATGCTTGGTTCTTCAGACATGCAGTTTTTAAAATAAAGTCTTATCTAAAATACACATTTTAATTGTGATTACTATAGTGCAATAGTTTGCTTCCTGAGTCTTCCTGTCTTTTGTATCCATCCCTACTTTCCGTTCATGTCCCTTGTTGAAGAGAGCCTATAAAGGGACAACATTCCTTTTCTGCCAGATATCTGTACAAATGGATCTGTCCTGCTATCTATCCAGACAAATACGTTTCCTTTTAGCTCTGACTATTTGATGAGCTAGTTTTAAGAGAACCCTCCACCTAAATCAAAACCTTAGGGCTGTGTCTACACTGGCATGAATTTCAGGAAATGCTTAAAACGGAATACTATTCCGTTTTCAGTTTTTCCGGAAAAGGAGCGTCTACATTGGCAGGCTGCTTTTCCGGAAAAGCCCTTTTTCCGGAAAAGCGTCTGTAGCCAATGTAGACGCGCTTTTCCACACTGGCCCTTTTCCAGAACAGTGTTCCGGAATAAGGACTTATGCCCGAGTGGGAGCAGAATAGTTTTTCCAGAATAGCGGCTGATTTTGTACAGTAGAGCATCGTTGCTTTTCTGGAAATTCAAGGGCCAGTGTAGACAGCTCCCAGTTTATTCCGGAAAAGCGGCTGATTTTCCGGAATAAGTGGCCCAGTGTAGACACAGCCTAGTAGTAAGGTTGTTATGCCTAAACTCTTTGGAAACATTTTTAACATAAACATATAGTGAAATTTCATTAAGGCTATGTCTATACTACAGAGTTTTTTTGGGATACTGGAGGTATCCTGGAAAATCTCTGCCATGTCCAGAGAACATGTTCGCTTTTTCAGATCAGTTTCCAAAAAAGCGGGCGCGCTCTTTCAGAAGCCCTGTATTCCTCATTTTATGAGGAATAAGGGCTCTTCTGAAAGAGGAGGGTTTTCCCACATTTGGCCCCATGTTGACAGGCCAAATATCAGAGAAGCCTCTTCCGAAAAAAGAATCCGAAAAAGGAACACAAATTGCAGTTTGCAATTTGTGTATCTTTTCCCCAAAAATAGCTGCAGTGTAGTATAATAGTCTAATATGTCTTGTTATGAAAATCACACAATAGTATTCTTTTTTTCTAAAAGCAATGAACTTTATTATGAACACACTAAGCCACTCTGACCGATTAATTTAAAATGTCTCTGTTTCAGTTAATTTAAATTTGTAATAATCTGGAATGATTACTTTATGAAGGTTTAAGATTATATTTAAAATATAAAATCAACTTAGAAATGCTGATGGATAAAATGTAAAACAGAGAAGGGCTGCATCATGTATGCCATAAGATGTAGTGTTGTATTCAGCAGAACAGCTAACTTGCCCTTACTACAAAGTTTTTGCAAATACATTTTTGACAAACTTCAGGGTATATTAAAATAATTGGTGACTGATATTTTTTATTCCCAAATTTTAATTAAGTATCTCATGTCCAGTCTTCACAATCTGGCATGCAGTGGAAGAAATGCTCCATTTTCTTTAGAAACAAGTTTTAGAAGAGTGGTGGTTTTTTTTCTCAATGTCATTTGCTACATTTGGGTTCAGGATTTTGGCTGGAATGGGTAAGCAAAAGAAGAAGGAGCAGTGGAGAGGGGATGGGGCCTGAGTGGAGCAGGGGTGGAGTATGAGCAGGGCCAAAGACTAGAGAGCTCACCTCCCCAAGCAGCAGCGTCACCCACGGCCCATGCAGTTGCTACCGGTGAAATGCTAATACGGGCCAGTAAAAGATATTGCCTTCCTCGCCTTGTTTCTCTATTCTCACCAGAAACATTTTAAAAACATATTTCCAATGAAAGCTAAGGAGTATGGAAAAAAACAATTGTCTCACACTGTGTACAGGCACGCCGCTACGAACCATGTCAAAAAATACTACACAGATTGGTTCTGTTGTGCCTATGCATGCCTGTCAGCTCTGGAACCGATGTACATGCTGTTGTTGGTACAGCATATGGATTACATCCATCACACTGAAGTGAGAAGGGAACATCTCCATAATAGATAGCTAACCAAGAGCAAAAAACCCAAAACCCACACACACAGGTTCCACATGTCCAGAGCAGTCACAATTTATATGCCTTCTAGATACTGAGATTTCCCCCAAGGAGCAGCAAATGTAGAGCAGAAAAGGAGCAGGTTAAATCTGCGTGGGAGACTTGTTTTCCCCCTTTGTCTCCTCTCCTTGTAAAGGTGAATACACTGATTTTGCCCTTCTGGGTCTCCTTCCTGAAAGGCCACTCTGCCTCTGTCAAGCAAATTTAAAAGTAGGGACCTAGTCAGAGGTGAAAGTAAGCGGGTGTGCACCGGTGTGCAGCTTTGGCAAGAACTGGCTGGGATGCAGCGAAAGCCAGCAGGGAGCTATTTACAGAGCTGGCAGGGACCCAGGCTACAATAGGACAGTACCTGTAAGAAATTTTAAGTTACTTTCACTGCTGGGCCTAGTGTGCAAATGAAGTGCAGTGGGCCAACATTAGGAGCCAAAGGTAATGGCTGGAGGAGTGGGAGTGCTGGAGAGGGACGAAGCAGGGCTGTACCATATAGAGAGGCAGGATGACACCCATAAGATGCTGCAGACGCTAAGCCTCTTCAAGCCTCCTCCATGACTGAACCATCGAACGTCACTCTCCACTTTCTACCCCCAGCTTAAATTGCAGCAAGGGAGGTTTTGGCTGGACAATGGGAAAAATTTCCTGCCAGGGTGGTGAAACACTGGAACAAGTTGTCTAGGGGGTTATGGAATCTCTGTGAGTGGGGATATTGAAGAGTAGGTTAGACAGACATCTATTGGGGATGATCTAGATGGTGCTTGGTTTTTCCATGAGTGCAGGGGACTGGACTTAATCTCTCAAGGTTCTTTCCAGTTCTATGAACTGGTCTTGGGCATGTTCCGCAAGGGGATCAAGGCATAAGTGGACAGTATTATGTAGTACAGGAATGGTTTTCAGTGCTATGGCTCTGTATTCCTCAGGCATAATCCTGTTCTGGCTATTGCTGCTGGAAGTAGAAGTCTCTTACCAATGCTTGTTTGCATTTTGCACTTCGTATGGCCTCAACATAAACTGCTGCTAAGGCTTTTTAAAGACCAGTTGCTTTTTTTTTTTTTTGGCCGCTTTAATTCTTCCTGTATCCAAAGGGAAGTCACAGCTCTTATTTATGAAGTTTGGCTGCGTGGTTTCCATATGTCTCTGTAGTTTCCTCAGACTTCATGTACTAACACATTGAAGACAAATGACACATTGTGGCCGTGAACTTTCTGTGGTAACATGAACATCCAAACATAACATCACTATTATCGTTTTGGCTTCCTGTCCTGTTTAACTGTATTAAAACCATCATCTTTTTCACCTGCATGCAAGCTACTCACAGACTTAGCACTTGGTAAAAATTGGTCCATTATATAAACTGTGGCTTTCCCTCAGAATCCTTCCTCTAGATTCTAGTACTGCCTGCACAAGAAGCTTCTCTGTGCCAGCTGCTCCAGCACAGGGCTGTGAGCTGAGACACAT